CTGCTTATGTTACATCAAAGGACCCACACTGGGGAGAAACCATATAAATGCATGGAATGTGGAAAGTGCTTTAGTCAGAATGGTCAGCTTAGGGTACATCAAAGGGCCCACACTGGGGAGAAACCATATACATGCATGGAATGTGGAAAGAGCTTTAGTCGCAGGGATGCCCTTATATTGCATCAAAGGACCCACACAAGCGTGCCAGAGTTTTCTCTGTTACAAATGAACATTATTGAATAATCTTACAATACTAACTATTCCAGAGGTGCGTACACCCACTGGGAGTTTATGCAATGAAGATTTATCAATTTCAATTCTACTTTCTCCAAGAAGATTGCCTATGAACAGAGTGACACCTTGGATTATGAAAGTTAATAGATTGGGGTTTGATTTCCTTTCTTTTTGACTAATTTTTTTGTTGAGTGTGGTTGGGGGAGGAATTTAGAAAATAATCTTTTAGACATGTGATGTGGAGCAATAAGGACTATATATATTATATTTAGGAGACATTCTCCATGGAAAGTTTTTTTAATTGTCTTTTTGTCTGACTTATTGGGAGATCTTTATCTGCTGGTTGACTGATTTGTGACTGGGTTTGCTGGATGCACTTTCATATATATAGATACACACACACACACACCCCTAATATACTAGATTACTTAAACCTGTGTAAGGAGTGAGGGGAGAAGTAGGTATTTGGGAAGACGACTGATGAATTGATATACGAAGGTTTCTATATATATATTTTAAAAATGACTGCTAAACCAAAGTTGGGGAAAGGAAGTCCAGCAGCAGAAACGGCATCAGAATAATTTCTTTACAATTTATTAAAAAAAACCCATCTCCCAAGAGAGATCCAAATTAGATTCATAAAAACTGCATAGAGGGTTAAATATTAAAAATAATGCAAGATAAGTAATATATAAAGATGGAAGGAATTTGAAGATACTGAAACATTCCCTGGGAAATAAGAAACAAAAGGAAAACGTATGAGAAACTTTCTAGTTTTTAGAGAAGAAGTAAAATTACTTAGGATCTCCGACACTCCCTAGCTAGACAGGGTACAGATTGTATTTGTCCTCAGTGTGGAAAAGATTTTCACTCTTCAATTGGCCTTCTCAGCCACACTAGACGCTGTTCCAAGTCCTCCATACAGAGCATGATACCATAGTCTCTCGAGACTGAAGGATGCCTATCATGATGACAATTACTTGCAGATGGCTAATCCCAGAAGGACTAATATTTGAGTTTGGTGGACAGAGTGCCTGAAGAACTTTGGATAGAGGCTCGTAACATTGTCCAGGAGGCAGCAACAAAAACCATCCCAAAGAAAAGGAAATGCAAGAAAGCAAAGCGGCTGTCCAACGAGGCCTTAGAAATAGCAGAGAGGAGAAGGGAAGCAAAATGCAAGGGAGATAGGGAAAGTTACAGAAACTTGAATGCAGACTTCCAAAGAATAGCAAGGAGAGACAAGAGGGCCTTCTTAAATGAACAATGCAAAGAAATAGAGGAAGATAACAGAAAAGGAAAAACCAGAGATCTGTTGAGGAAAATTGGA